GACAATGAAAAATACATCCATTTTTTCTTTATTTTTATTAGAACTTAATACTAGTTTTGCCTTGATAGACTAATCCTCCTTGGCTTGAAGTGACAACAAGTCATTTAGTGAATTATTTAGTTTACTTAATTAGTTCTAAGAAATTTAATAGAATACATGATATTATTTGTAATCTCTACAATATCAAATTGTAAGCTTAAAAAACGTAAATGCATAAAATAGGCATGATCGTCAATACGTAGCCTTTTAAATTGATCTTCGTTCGGAAAATCCACAATTTTTTTTTTTCAAAATAAAATGAATTTAAAATTTTTGGATAAATTATCGAAAGACTTCACGGAACTACTTAGCGATAAGGAAGATTACAATGTTATCATTGAGGCTGGAACAGAATTAAATAAGAAATCTTTTACTGCGCATTCAGCTGTACTACGATACAGGTCATCTTATTTTCTTAAAGAGCTGGCTAATACTGTTGCAGATGAGAATCATATCAAAACTATCGTAAAGTCCAGTATTTCTGCTAATATATTTGAGATAATTCTTAAGTAGGTGATTTTTACTATTTTAAATGAAATATTCTTAAAAGCACTAATAATAACTCGTTGTTTTTTTAAAGGTATATTTATGGAGGGGTCGTTAGCGTAGAGAGCTTAGATAACAAATTCATTTTTGATTTAATGTTATCTTCCAACGAGCTTGAGTTTAAAGAATTATCTGAGAAATTGGAAATTTACCTCATCGAAGATAAAGCCTCTTGGATACGCACACATTTTTCTTTTGTCTACCAATTGGTCTTTAATAAAACTGATCACTTTAAAGGCTTAGAAAATTTTTGCAATAACATTATAGTAAAACATCCAAAACTCATATTCGACTCTAATGATTTCGCTCTTATCAAAGAAACAGCATTGGTTTCCATTCTTAAAAGAGATGATTTACAAATGGAAGAAATAATGATCTGGGATAAAGTTATTCAATGGGGAATTGCACAAAATCCAGCTTTACCTTCGAAACTCGAGGAATGGTCAAAAGATAATTTTATTAGCTTAAGAACAACTCTTCAGAAATGTTTACCACATATCCGCTATTTTCAAATTTCTGGTGAAGATGTTGCCGATAAATTAGAGCCTTATAGAAAGATCTTTGATAAAAACTTATGGCGTGATATAATTAATAAATTAATTGCACCGAATAAACAAATCGTATCTGATATCTTACCTCCAAGAGTGATGATATATATTCCAGAATTACTGACAGAATCAGAGAACCGTTTTTCAAATATCATAGACGATAATAATGTGTCAGAAATTTCATCATGGATAGATCGCAAATCAACAACATATCCGATATCAGGCATTCCCTATGAATTTCAATTAATACTAAGAGGAAGTCGTGATGGATTTGATTCGCAAACTTTTTGGGACAAAGCTCATGGTTATGCCGGCACATTGATCATTTTAAAAGTCAAAGGAACAGATGAAATTCTAGGTGGATACAATCCTTTGAAATGGGATAAAACGATTTATGATTCTTATATGGAAACAAACGATAGTTTCATTTTTTCATTAAAAAATAGTAATATGCAAAATTCAATTCTTAGCAGAGTGAGAAATGGTAGTGAGTCCATTTATCCTAATCAAGACGCGATTTTCTTTGGACATGGTGAATTAGCGATATTTTTTAAAGCTCGTGCTAGAAATTCATATATTTTTGGTAATTCGCATTATTCTAACATTTACGAAATTCCTATTAGAACTGATGTGAAGTTTGAGATTGCTGATTATGAAATATTTGAGGTTATTAGGAAAAATCATAATATTATATAAAATATACATTAAGCGAACAAATTGTCATATACGTATTGGTTTGTTATCTTTGATTTTCTCCGGATGTTTATATTGCACGAATACTATATATCAATATGATTAAACCATTAAAATTAAAAAATATTCTTTTAAATAAAAGTGAATGATTTATCAAAATTCAATACCGAAATGCTTATTCATACTATAGTAAAATGGGAGACTTTAAAATAAACAAAATGTAAGTTTTGCGGATAGAATTCTTATAAGAAAATTGTTTTAAAGTTAATCATCAGTATATTATTGTATATTCAACATGTTTATATATTGTATTAAAATTAACTCATATTTAAAATGTAAGTCAACATAATTTTAAACTATCTTTTATTAATAAAAATTCTTTAACAATATACACCGTGTGTAGTTTTTTAAATATATAATGTTTATATAATTGATGCTTAGTCTGCCGGTTCTTTTATTATAAATATATGTACTAAAAGGCTGTATATTTTGTGTATTTACAGTACGTAATAAATAAAACGATGATAAATTAATAAGTAAACTTCGAATCAAAGAATAAACTTTTAAAGGTGTGCGCTTATAGAAATTATAACAAAATGACACCTCTATAAATGCATGCTCTGGGGACAAGTACGTATGTCTGCATTCTCAATATGTAACGATATGCCACTATTCTTGATACAAGTTTTCGAAAGCATATTTTTTCCTTAAACTATTATTAACTATTATCAATTTATAGTGACCATTTTTTCTAATTTGTTTTGATGATTCTTAAGAAATTATTTAACTGTATTATTCTTCAGATGGTAAGTTTTTGAAAGCATATTTTTTGAAAGTTCTTTTAACTGCATTATTTATTATTTATTTTTAAATTTAGTTTCAAATTTCATTAAGAGTATACTATTTTTTGTGTTATAGGTTGTAAGTTTTAATAAGCACCAGTATAAATTCATCTCGAAAATTCTACGAAAAGTGTTTCAAGTCATAGGGAAAATGTTCTCATAAGAATATACACTATGCTAATTTTATTTCGTAATTTCTTACAAAAGTATTCAGCTATATTACCGATTGTTAATATATGTTTTCATAAATCTATCTCTCGTATTTCTCATAAAGGTGCTTTTATTATATCATCGATTGCAGGCTTATGGCCAGCACATTTCACGATCACATACGTATTCTAAAATTTATTACGCAAATTTTTGTGAAAAGTGCTTTAAGTATGTTATCAATTGACTGTTTATTGGGTGCAGGTTTTATGATCAAGTTTTTTATGGGATAATTACTATAAGTAGTATGCCTATGTTATAATTCTTTGCCAATTCTAGCTAAAAACTTCTACTCTCCGCTTCGTTAATCGGGGAAAGTGTTTTTTTTATATTCAGGATCAGACGGTCACAATAAAATGTTCAGATGATTTTTTTTTTTTTTTACACTCATTTATTTATAGTGTAAGCCTAGGACCATCGTTTTACGTATCCTACGCCAGAGGACTATATCAGCCAAGAATTTTATCAGTAACTTCATATTTAGTTACAACGGTTCGTGTCCCAAAAAGTTTACAGATTAAATTCATTGCGATTTTTTCTTACGTATTAATAATTGGCACTCGTGGAAGGTTGGACTTTGAATATGGTTTTAGTTTATAATCGATCATGATAACATTCCTGCCGCATGTTTATTGTTCATAATTTTTAAAATAATATTGATTCCTTTTGGTAACTCTGAAATGGACATCGCTCTTGCAGACAAAAAAAAAAAAAACGATCAAAAATATATTGTGACAAATTTGGTTTTCCAAAATCATTATACAAGGTTTCGATTTACTGACAATACCTTCAGAAGAAATCTGAAAATATCTTATATGCGGTAACCACTTTTGAAGAATATTTTTTTACTTATACGTAAAATTCTTTTTTGATTACCTCTCAATTTTGAAGGTAAGCCAGAATTTTGTGCAATTTTCTATTAATACCTTTTTTCCAAATATTAGTTAATTCAATTTATATGTCATAATGGCAGAATAGTGAATTTCATTATGAAAATAAAATGACGACTTGAACATATTTGTTACGACTGGAGAAAGTTTTTTTTCTTTCTTATTAAACAATTCAACAATCATTCCGAACCATTTTTTAGCCTATTCACGTTAAATAAAATCCATTTGTTTTATGTTGAAACATCAGCTAAAGCTTCATGAATGAGGTCATACGTATGTATGATAAGATCGTTTTCAATAATTTTAATCATTACTTGTTCAGTATAAGAAAATTTTTGCTAAATGCGTCACTTTATACGCATACTATTGGCGATTACTTCATATAAAACGGTAGCACAATCATTAGATCATGTTATTTATCCTCAATATTAGTCTGCGTAACGGGAGTCGCATAAATATTTCTTCAGAAAATCTTGTACGTCTGCAATCTCTTTTTTTTTTTTTTAAAAAAAATGAAGCTAAAACTGTTGGATAAATTGTCAAAGGACTTTACAGAACTACTTGGAGATACTGAAGATTATAATGTTATTATTGAAATCGGCGTAGAATTAAATAAGAAATCTTTTACTGCACATTCAGCTGTATTACGCTATAGGTCATCATATTTTCGCAGGGAGCTGGCTAAAACTGTAACTAATGAAAATCACGTAAAGACTGTCATAAAGCCTAATTTTTCTGCTAATATTTTTGAAATAATTCTTAAGTAGGCAATTTTTTTACACTTGCATCGATTTTTCCTAATGCATTATAACAAGTTATTGATAGTTATTGATTTGTAGGTACATATACGGAGGGGTTGTTAACTTGGAAAGCATGAATAATAAATCCATTTTTGATTTAATGCTATTGACCGATGAACTTGAATTTAAAGAATTGTCCGAAGAATTAGAAAAATATTTCGTTAAAAATGAGGCCGCCTGGTTACGCACTCATTTTTTCTTTGTTCATAGGTCGGTTTTTAGTAAAACCGATCACTTTAAAATTGTGGAAAAATTCTGTAACGATATTATAGTAAAATATCCTAATTTTATTTTTAACTCTGATGATTTCGCTTTTATGCATGAATCAGCGTTAATTTCCCTTCTTAAGAGAGATGATCTACAAATGGAGGAAGTGAAGATTTGGGATAAAGTTATTCAGTGGGGAATCGCACAAAATCCAAATTTACCTTCACAACTCGATGAATGGTCAAAAGAGAATTTCATGAGTTTAAGTACAACCCTTCAAAAATGTTTACCACATATCCGTTATTTTCAAATTTCTGGTGAAGATGTTATTGACAGATTAGAACCATATAAACGGATTTTGGAAAAACAACTTTGGCGTGATATAATTAGTAAATCAATTGCGCCGAACAAACGAGTATTATCATCTGTTTTGCCTCGAAGAAAGATAGCCATTCCAGAGTTATCGAAAAGAATAAAAGAACCTCTCTCGACTATTATAAACGACAACCATGTGATAGAAATTTTGTCATGGATCGATCGTAAATATCCGATAATAAGTAATTCATATAGATTTCAACCAATACTAAGAGGAACTCGTGATAGATTTAATTTGCAAACTTTTCTGGACAAGAGTCATGGTCACATGCATACAGTGATCATTTTAAAGGTAGAAGGAACTGGTGAGATTCTTGGCGGATATAACCCTCTGAAATGGGATCAAACAATTAATGATTGGATGAAAACAAACGATAGTTTTATTTTCTCTTTAAGAAATAACGATATGCAAAATTCAATTCTTAGCAGAGTGATAAATAGTAGTTTGGCCATCTTTTACAGTAATAATAGTCGTGGTCCATTTTTCGGTGGAAATGGCGAGCTAAAATTATTTCGCAATCAAAATGGGCAATGTTATTGTAATAACACAGCGTATTTTTATGAGCGTCCTATTAGAACAACCGCAGGATACTTTGATATTTCATGTTATGAAGTATTTAGTGTAATCCACGAAACTCCTTAATATTATTCTGACATTCAAGTTATCTGAATGCTTCTCTTATTCGAATTTTTCTTGATCAATGTGAATAAGTTGTTATAAAAGATCTGTTTATTAATTTACTGTATTTGAAATACATAATTAATTCTTTGGTTATTTATATTATCAAATCAATAATTGATTTATTATTCAAGACGAAATTATTCATCAATCACTTAGCTGGTAGATAAAATTATAAATAAAGAGAAGCTAAAAAAGAAAAAATCAATATCAGTATATACAGTAAGTATGCAGCAAAAAAAAATTAAAAAAAAGAAAAAAAAAAAACAATTTAAACTTTTTTTCCAAAAAAGGCTTTTTCAAAAGTTCAGAATTCTTAATAGAGGGCTCTTTTTTTCTAATTGCTTTAAGAATTTATTTTATTATTATTACGCACAAATGTTATGTATTATATAAATTAATCTTCTTTTAAAACATGACTTAGCTTTTTTGTAAAATATAGTAATTTTATATTAATTTTTTGTTGAATATTTTTATTATTAATATTAAAGTATTGCTTTATTTTTTTAACTATTAACGTTAAATTATTTATTGGTGTATTTTAAAGGAGAAAAAATAGCAACAATTATCAATACTACTTTTTGAATTGTTTTAAAAGTTATATTTAGACTTTTAATAATTAAAAAAAAACTATAAAAACTTTTAGAATTATTTTTATATAATTAAAAAGAGAATAAAAAGCTTTATAATATATATATATATATATATTTTTTATAAAGCTGGCTCAGCCTTGCTTATTAGCTTGATAAAGTAATATGCAAAGTAATATGCAACTGTACCTTGTAGGAATTACAAGGAATATCATTAAACTTCTTAGGACTAGTTAGATATTCTAAAGAGTCCATCAGATAGCTTGTTACTAATCCAGACTAAGAGAGGATTAACCTGTCAAGGCAAAGCTTAGCACTGGGTTCAAAAGAAAAAATGGATGTGATGTTAGTATTTTCAAGAATGAATATTGGTTGATTAAGTCTATATAGCTATCTTTGATGAATTGTTCATTTATCTATCTGACTGGGCTTAAAGGTACTTTTTCATATTTTTGATATCTTTCTTTTTTTCTTGAGATGCCATGTTCCACTTTCCACCTTTGAAATGACTCATTTCGTGCCTTCCAAGTTAAGTATAAGAGTTTTTTCCATTCAACTAATATTTCAGTTATGCAGTCTTTGCATGGCAGCATTGTGAATTGTTTAGTGGATTGTTTTGATAGTGGATTTGAAAAAGGCCCCTTTGATAAATAACTTGATCTATTGTGCAGTGTCTAGTGTTATGTTATTATTTATTGTAATTAGTAATTGAACCTTCCTTTCTTTGGGTATGTGCTTGAGTATCGCTTCTTAAATCATTATTATGGCTTGATATTTAATATCTATTTTGTTGTATTGAAATAAGAAGGGATGATAGTTGTCTTCCACTTGGTTGCAATTGCAGCATTTGTTGTCTTTGTATAATGATAGTTTTCTACTGTATAATTTGATTTTGATGGAAAGTTCATCATTTCAGAGATTTAGTAAAAACTTTCATATTTGCTGGTCTTTAAATAAAGTATTTGAATTACTAATTTAAGATGAATATAGTTAGTTGTATGTTTCTTGCCAGTGGATATGTTTGTGTGCATTAGTTGAAAATGTGCTCTCTTTAAAAGACAGGTAACCAATATTACTATAGCATTACATTCTTGTCTTGTCAAGACAGCTGCATGATAAAGTCCATAGTAATTTCTTCCCATCTTTTACTGAGGTTGGCAGGGGCTGAAGGAGTCTAGCAAGTATTTGATTGCTTGTTTTATTTCTTTAACACATATTATATATTTACACATACCATTGGATCTCTTTACCTATTTTTGGCAATAAAAGTTTTTCAAAATGGCTTCTATGATCTTGTTGATTCCTAAATATCCTGTGATTTCAATGTCATGATATTCTTAAAGAATATGTATCTTCAATTTTTTATCAGCAGAAATAGTTAATCTATGTACTTCTCAAAGATATATGTATCTATCACACAGTTCAAAATATTTGTCTATTGCTTAAACGTTTTTATCAACTTGTTCAGGGTGTTGCAAAGTTCTCATAAGTGATACAAAATTCTTATTATTCTGGTAACCTTGTTTAAAAATCTGATTGTCCACTAAGGTTACAGTTAAGGTGGTAATCATTTTCAGTTGCAGTTTTCTTGACAATGCATCAGCCACTACATTGATTTTGTCAGGTCTGTATTTTATCACAAAGTCATGCATTTCAGAGTTTCTAATCATCAAGCTTGTCTTCTTGACAAGTTAGACTGGGTTCTAATATACTTCAATAATACATGATTTGTTATCATGGTAAACTTTTGTTCTTCTAGGTATATGCACTATATTCTGATAGCATGAATAATAGCCAACAATTTTTTCTCATATATGATATAATTCTATTCTGTTGGAAATAATTTTCTAGATTTATATGCTATATGTTGTTCATCTTTTCCTTGATCTTGCACAGGTACAGTCCAATAGTATAGTTGGAGGCATCAGCTATTACTATAAAGGGTTTGGCAAAATTAAAGAGGAGGAGTACTGGAGTGGTGATAAGTTTCTCTTTTAGTGCTTCAAAGAACTCTGTAATTCCTTTGTCCAAGTAAAGTTGTGATCTTTATATAGGAGATCAGTTAGTGGAGTAGCAATAGATAAAAACTTTTCTACAAATTTTCAATAATAGCTAGCTAATTCCAGAAAGGATCAGACTTCTGATAGATCAGTCGGACAGGTCAACTTTTGATAGTTTCCACTTTTCATGGGTCAATGCAACTCCTTCTTTAGATATAAAGTGACCTATATATTTTATTCATTCCTTTACTAGTTCACATTTCTTGACTTTAATATACAACTTATACTTTCTGAGAGTGATAAGAAAAATACAGATATATTGTATATGTTCCTCTTTGGTTTGGCTATAGATCAATATATCATCCAAATAGATAATATTCAAATATTTATAGAAAATATTATTTATTAGGGTCATAAAATGGCAGGAGTATTTATTAGATCAAAAGGGAGGACAAGAAATTCATAATGTCCATATCTTGTGTATAAGGTAGTTTTATAGATATCAGAATCCTTAATATGAATCTAATGGTATCTGAAATAGTGATTAATCTTTGGAATCAATGAGGCAATCCATAAGTTTATCTATTTTTGGCAGGAGATATCTATTCTTTATAATGATCTTATTCAGAGCCCTATATTTCACATAAAGTCTAGGGCTTCCTTTTTTCTTATACATGAATAATACTGGGCACTGAATAAAAAGGTGTTTGGTCTAATAATCCATTTAGTCATAAGCTCTGCAAGTTGCTTTTTTAGCTTATTCATTTTCACATATAACAATCTATAGATGAGTTTTGATGGGGTTCAGATCCAGGAATTAGTTTATAGCATAGTTAATATTTTACTGCAGTGGTAGATTATTAGGAAGTTCAGTAGGAAATACATCTTCAAATTTACTGATAAGAGCTTTTTCTTCTTTATTCATATTATCTGGCAGCTCAAGAAGATTGGTGAAACAAATGGCAAACAATTCAGCTATTTCTGGAGTAGCAGCTAGTTGATAGTGAGAGATATATCATGAAGTATTTAGCGGTAATACCAGCTTTTTGAACATTAGCATTGACTTTGATGTGCACTATTTATATTGGAAGGTAAGAGTATTACTTCTCCAATTAATGTTGGGATTTGCAAAGTAAAGCCATGGTTTTTATAATATAGCATCATATTGTAGCAGGTCCAGAACTTGTACAGTAATATCAAATACTTTTTATATGTCTAGCCTCAGCTTCTCAATATTCAGTTCTTTTCTTACTTCCTTTTTACAACCATCAGTCAGTTCTACAGTGAGTAATTTAGATAAAACACTCTGTAGCAAGTGGTGTTTCTTAACAAACTTTTTATTAATAAAATTCCTGGAGGCTTCATTGTCTAGCAGGATTTAGGCAAACTTTACATTCATCTTTCCATTGAACTATAGTAACTGCTCTCAGTTCTCTTCTAGTTTAATAAATTTAGCAGTAGGAAAGAATAATTGTTTCTCTGTTTCTATCAAAAAATTTTTGACTGGTCTCTGAAAGTATTTTCTTGCAATGTGTTTTGATTTTTTATATTTAAAGCAAAGTTTTTTCTGAATCATATATTTCTTTTTCTATTTATTCAATTGATCAAACTCCATGAAAGTGGTCTGATGGATGTTTATTGAAGATGTGTAGGCAGTTGTTTAGTATGGATGACAGTTTTGTAATAGATAGTTCCTATTGCCAGAACCTTGTAGATTTTCTGTTCATTTCTTCATGAAGCTGGCTTTCCAGAACTATACATATCAATGTTATATCTTACAGCCTGTGTTCAGGCTTCTTCAAAAGAATTGGAAGAGCAATAGTCATTTCATATATATGGCAGGTTTCAATCTTTCCATGAAATATATAATTTTATCAGTCTCAATCATATTATCAATCTGACTCAAGATGTTTTGAAAGATTATAATATACTCTTGTATAGAGCCAGTTTGGTAAAGCTTTTTTAGTTAATAGCACAGATACTGTTAATGGTTCAGTGGCTGGAAGACAGTATAAAGGCCATAAGCAAAATTGTTCCAATTATCAAAGACATTGACTCAGTTGGCA